TAGCTTACATAAACTGTGTTCTTCATCTTGCTTTTTTTCAGCTGAAAATATATCTTGGGCATCTTTCTGACTCACTTTGAGATGATGCTCATTATTTCCCAGCTGCATAATGTTTCATTGTATGAATGTGCCATAACCTGTTTCACTTGTCTCACACTGAGAAACATTTTTATATTGGAAACAATGTACAATGAAAGTGTTCTTAAGTCACTCTGCATGTGTGAGCACAACTATAGGGCTTACAGTCAGAGGAACAGCAGCTGGATCCTTTCCTGTGTCTTTGTAATTGCCTCTCCAGAGATGCTACCAATTCAGTTTCTACTGTGAATTTATGAGAACCATTTTTGCTACTTCTTACCAACTCACCAACACAGTGTGTTAATCAAACATTTTGTCTTTCCATTTGGATATATTTTTAAAAGTTGTATCTTCAGATGCCTATCTATTGATTCTGCTGATTGAGTTTGAGATTTTTTCCTTTTACGAGGCTGAGACACATTGTTTCTGCTTCATTCACTCTGTTTTTGTTTCTTTTGCTTAAAAAAATGTAATCACTATCACATTTTTATATATGTATATACTTCTTTAAGAATATAATTATTTTGGTCCTCCCCTGATGGCGCAGCAGTTGAGCGCTGGGCTGCGAAGCTGCCCACAGCCTCTGCAGCGCCAGTTCTCACCCTCCCGCGCTTCTGACTGTACTCATTGCTTGTATAAATAAATAAATCTTTTTAAAAAAGAATATAATTATTTTAAAACCCTTTTCAAATTAGTGGATTAAAAATAAAGTCCACCTGGAGACAAGAGGTCATTCATTTCCTTATGAGTCAGTCTTCACTATGGTCCCTTTCCGCCAATGGCCTAGGGTTTTGGGTAGCAGGCTGATTTTGAGTGGGTTGTTTCCTACTTTAATTCCCATCCCTGATCCTCCATGATTACTGTTCCATGACTCCCAGAACTTGTTAAATTTTTTATACTTCATTTTCTCTATTGTTGTCATAAATATGTAATGAGGAGGTACTTGATAGTACAATTCCAAATGCCATCTTTATCAAGAAACCCAAACATATTTGAAAAGCAATTGTTGTGACCTGGACCACTTAGCCTCCTACCTGACTGGGTTTCTTTTCTTCTAATTGGCCCAGATGGATATTCTAAGTGAACACCATCTATATTCATGTTTCTCCTCCCTAGTTCTGTGTGGCTGAGCTCTTGGAGATCCTATCTGAGCAGGATCTTCCCAAGCCTAATATAAGCTTTTCAAAACTGAGCCAAGAATAAGACTGTGTCATCCTAAATTTATAAAAGATGGGAGGAAGTAAAGTCAGTAATGGTAATTTCACACATACACACACAGGAGAAATATGTCATCATTACCAAAAGTTAGGGAGCATGCAGCCAGAGGTAGGAATGTGGGAGTTATTGCATGTAAAGGGGTTGGAGTAGCTGACAGAATGAATGCAATGGAATGCAAGGCTGGTGTCTACAGACAAAAGCCTACAGCACTCCAAAATATACCAGGAAGACAAGGTGCAGCAAGGTAAGCTGAGAAAATGAGGCCAGGAGTTGGAAGGAAAACAGGACAGTGCAAAGTCTTAAAGGCAAATAGAGGGTTTTGGGTGTAGGGTATGCTGGACTGTTTATCGGGCCATATTTAAGTCTCAGTGAATAACATTTTCAATCCTGTGAGAGTTATGGAAGTTGTCTGGAAAATCCTCATCGTTGAGAGATGAACAATCTAAATGTCATCTTCTGAAATTGACAGTTTTCCTTGAAATCTTAAACATAATGCAAAGACTCTGCCATAGTTTATATGGGCTGCTATAACACTGTATCAGAAAATGAGTGGCTTATAAATGTCAGAAATTTATTTCTCACAGTTCTGGAGATTGGAGGTCCAAGACTAGGGTGCCAACAGTTCTGTCATCTGCCGACAGTCTTCTTGGTACAGCAATGATGTCTTATAAACATTTGTTTTTTATAAAGCACAAATTCCATTATGAGACCTCTGCCCTCATGATCTGATCACTTCCCAAAGTCTCCACCTCCAAATGCCATCACTTTGGGGATTAGGTTTCAACATATAAATTTAGGGGACATCTGCACACCACCCCTAGCCTCCACAAATTCATGTCCTTATATAAAAAATGCATTAATTCCATTCAAATAGTCCCAAATGTCTTAACTTATTCCAGCATCAACTCTAAAGTCTTGTTCAAAATCTCATCTAAATATCTTCTAAAATCAGATATGGATACAATTAACCTTGGTGCAAACTGCCCTCCAACCATGAACCTGTGAAACTAAGTAAGGAGCATGCATCCAGCATACAATGGTGGGACCTGTGTAAGATAGACATTTCCATTTAAGGGAAGAAATATGAAAAAATAATGACAGAAAATTCCCAAACCTGACAGGGTGACAGGGCTTTAGGATACACTATCCCAAAACATGGCACCTTGGCAAATTGAGTATCTTCTGCTGAAGGAAATTTTTTTAATGGTAGAAGCTATAAGGACATTCTAACCTCCCTAAGTTGTCCTTCTTGAAATAGGTCATAAAACTCTTAGGATGTATTTGCCTTTCCTATACCAGAAAGAGGGAAGGCATTCATGTCACCAGAGGTGGCAAATTTGGACCAAGGAATCTGTACAAATAAACTTTGTTAAGCTACCCTTAAATTCCTAGTTACTTCTTCACAATTGGCTACTACTAGCCTAAATCCCTTTATCTTTTCTACTCTTCAAAAATTCATTATTTCTTTCTATAAAAGGTATATAAAAGAATAAAACTTCTGTGAAATTTCCAAATTTTTAAGTTATGTCAACTTTTTGCTTAACAATTACATGACTTAATTACAATTAAGTCATTCTCTCATCTTTTTATTGTAAGTAGTTACAAGAGCCACCTTGCATCTTCAACACTTTGCTTGGACAGAGTTTCAGCTAAATATTCAATGTCATCGCTTGGCTAGCTCTATGTTCCATAAAGTACTAAAGCACACACACAATGCAGGAGGTTCTATGCCACTTTGTAGCAAGGACACCTTTCCTAGATTCTTATCTGATCTGGACTTTGCAAATACTTCCGATTTTTTCTAAGGATTGATCACAGTTTATTATAACTCAAATTATGATTCCAACTGGCAAGGAAGGTTGTCCTCTTGGGTAAGTTCTTCACTCTTCTACTAACACAATTCAGAAATAGAAAAAGATACTCTTTAGTCACAACAGCTCCAGTTTCTAAGATCAGCTATTTTTTAAAGCAACCTTCTTTTGACCACCAGCTTCCTAGACACATACAAAAGAAAACACCCCCATAATTCTTGGTGACAGCCTAAGTGTCTCTACATGAAGTGAAACAAACATTAGAGGATGATTACTACCTGACTGGGTCAGCTGAGGACTTGAAAATTCATCACAATATTATATTAGAGCTGGATAAACCACAGTTAAGGTTAATTCCTGTCACAAGTAACTTCTTGTCATCCAATTTCTTTTTTAACTGTCTCCTGCTAGATTTCTAAGGTTTTACTTGTGGAATGAAGGAAGCATCTGTTTAGCTTAAGTTGCCAAGTGACCACAATTGAAAAATCGAAAGTGCTGATTTTTTTTTTTTTTCCAACCAGCTAAAAACAAAGTCTTGTGCATTGACTTCTCTGACTGTTCTCAGTAGCAGTTTGCCTCTGTCTGACTCACACTGGGCCTGCACTGGGTTAGTGTCTCCATTCTTTGGCCAGGGTAGCATGAGCTTTTTGGGTAACAAAATTGTCATCGTGTTGTGTGTGACCTGGCAAATAGGACACACAGTCTCCATTCTGTGGGCATGATTCACGACATAACCACAGTATTTCGTGTAGGTCCCACATCCAGGCAGGCTGAAAATTCAGATGAAAGGCAAGTGTTTCAACGTTGAACACAATTCCATAGAAACATGGCCAAAAAAGCTCTTAAAAAGTGGTTCTAGGGCCTCCCCGGTGGCGCAGCGGTTGAGCGCTGGGCTGCGAAGCTGCCCGCAGCCTCTGCAGCGCCAGTTCGATCCCCAGTCGGCCAGCGAGGGTCCCACATGGTGCGCAGATCTCTCCTGCCATGCCCACTGCTCCCCTCAGCAGTGTGTTTTGTCAGTCTGTCTGTTCTGTTCCCCTCTCTGACTCTGGTGAATTCTCTCACCGGCCCGCAATTCTGACTGTACCCAGTGCTTGTATAAATAAATAAATAAAAATCTTAAAAAAAAAAAAAAGTGGTTCTAAACTTTGCAAAACAGAACTATTTCTGCAAAACACAGCACGGGAAAGGAAAGGACGTTTACTAATTGGCAGAATTGCTATTTGTTAAATTCTCCCAGGTACTTACTCATCTTTTTTTTTTTTTTAATTTATACAATAGCTGGGGTACAGGCCAGAGGCGCAGGAGGGTGAGCGGATTCACCAGAGCCGGGAACAAAACAGGCAGGCTGATGAAATACACTGCTGAGGGGAGCAGCGGGCGAGACAGGAGAGGTCAGCCACGCCATGTGGGCACCTCCCGGGCAGGCGGGGATCGAACCTGCGCTACAGCGGCTGCGGGCAGCTTCACAGCGCGGCGCTCAACCCGCTGCGCCACCAGGGAAGCCCTCGTTCTCTTTTTTTAAACCGCAACTCTCCGCCTACTTTTTCTGGACAGCTTTGCGAAAACTAGTACGCGAGAGAAGCGGCAGCACCAGCGCGCGCACGCCCCGCCCCGCCGCCCCGCCCCGCCCCGCCGCGCCCCGCCCCGCCGCGCCGGCAACTAGGCCACCGCCCCGCGCCCACTTCCCGGCGACGCCAGAAGCCGCGCCGCCCCGCCCTGTCCCCGTCCCCTTCCGCGGTCCCGCCCCAGCCCGGCCCCGGGCGGTTGACTGCCGCCCGCGCTCCGCCCCCGACTTTGATTGGTCGGCTGGGTTCCCCGCCGCGGCCGCCGGTTGGCCACCTAGTCGTTGCCCGGGAGACGCGGGTGGTGTTGTGGTTCCTTGCGGCTCTGGGAGTTTAGCATTGGCCCCCTGCGCGCCGGCCCGCCGGGTACCGACTCTCCTCAGGTGCGGCGGGCGGCAACCACGGAGACCCTCAGCGAGCGGGTGAGTGGGGCGGGTGTGGGTGGAAAGTCAGGGCGGGAGAGGGGGCTGCTTGTATCCAGGGACCAGGGCGGGACCTCGGAATCTGCTATGCTCCCAATGTGCATGTGCCCCTGCTGTGTATCCTCGTGGATGTGCCCCTGCTGTCAGTCTGGCATGGATGTGGCCCATGCATGTGTCCCTGCTGTATACCAGCGTGCGTGTGCCCGTGCTGTGTACGGGGCGTGGATGTGTCAACTCTGTATACCTGCGTGATTTGCATGTCTTTTCGGAATGGTGAGATGCCTGCGTACATGTCAGGTGGAGGCGGACAGAGCCGGCTCCGACGTGGCTTCGTGGCACAGCCCCTGCAGCTTCCCCAGCTCAACAGTGAACACTTAGTCCGACGTGTCTCCCAGGCATGAGGAACACCGGCAAGGAACAGCAAGGAGCCACGAACCGCTATGCTCCCTGCGGTGAGTGACCTGTGGAAAGGAGGCGTCCATCTCCTCTGCTCCTGGGTGGGGTCAGACCCCAGCATCCGGCGTGTGTGCCCGGGGTGGGGGGTGATGGAGGTGGTGGGCTGGATAGACTAACATTCTCAAAGATACCCTCAAAGGAAGCTTCACACTGCTGTTATGCCCCAGTATCAAAGCAAGACTTAAAGGGAAATGGTGGTGGTGGTGGTGGTGGGAGAGACTAGACTTGTTTTTCATTTTCAATAAAAGAATACCTGGCTACCCCACTGTTCCCTCAGTTGTTAAAACAATAGAATCACTCCGAAATTTCCTCAGTATTTTAACCCTATGTAACTCATGTGTCTATTTCCCTGAATGTCTACTTGTGCACATTCATTTTTAGCTGCATTGTGATGTTTTTACCTGCGAATTTATTGCTCCTTAATTTAGATCCCAACCAAGTTAACGACATCTCCCCCTTTAAGTGGCTGGACACAGGGAACAAGTTGGAGGAGGTGTATGTTGCAATGGGGCTTCTCCTTTACTGGGCCTTGAAGTTGTGGAGAAGGGAACGAAGAAGCCTTGGATGCTGTGGTCTGTTTTGCCTTTGGTTTTTATTCTTCCCATTTTGTGAAGGGCTAGAGAAGGAGTGGAGACATAAGGGTGGGCATCCTCTTGGAAAGGAAATGGGACTTGGCAGGCACATGGTCACTGCCCATGTCAGCTCAGACTGGAGCAGAGTGAGGCCTTCCACATGTTCTAAATGGGCTTCTAGCCCAGAGCTCAGACTGTGACTACTGTTGGTGCTGACACATGGCCAAGCTAGAAACTGGTGTTTGGGGGTGTGAGGTAGGGAGGGGTGGACCTCAAGAGAGAGAGACCTGATGGTTCCTCCTCCAGAGGTGCTCTCAGAGTTTCTAAGGTCTTGCCTTCCTCTCCCCTCCATCCCTGTACCCTCTACCCTTCAACACTAAGAACTAAGGGATGGTGGTGCCTGGTACTATTCTAAGCACTTTAATACACTAACATTTACCCTCAAAACAACTCAGTAAGGAATTATTAACACAGTTTATCCATGACGAAATGGAGGCACAGTTTTAGGAAGATTGGACAACTGATAGCTGGCTTCTCTGCCTAGGCTTTTATACCCCAAGGTAGGAGCCGCTATGGTTTATAGACATATAACACTGCCTGTGACTTCTACACCGAGAGCTTCTCAGATCTTTCTTTGGTCTCAGAATTTCTTTCAGCCTGCTTCCTGGTGGATAAAATAAGGGCACATATATCCTGCCCTTGAGAAGGCAGGGAGGCTACATAAAGTCTCCTACATGATGGTACATGATCTGGTGCTATACAGTGATTACATACCAATGCTCTTTAAGTGATTAAAAACTACAAAACATACCTTGTTTCATTAACTCCATGCGTGGGGTGGTGGTGGTGGTGGTGGTGTTGGGGACGACTGGTGGTTCTTAGTGATATGGGCCCTTGAGCTCTGGGCTACTTTGCATACAGTTATAATGGCCCCCAGTTTAGAGCTCAGTGCCTGCCCAAAGCTTCTAGTAATGAGGACAAAGTAGAAGGTAGATTGTTCTCTGTGGATTAATTAGTAATCAAAACACAGAGAGGAAGATTAAAGTGAGAATCGAATGCATTCCCTCTAAAAGAGAAAATATTTTAGCTGGATTACAAAGCTCTTAAACTCCAGTTCTTAATTCTTTAATTGAGTCTGTGAGTTCTACATAGTTCTTTAAGCCTTTCTTAATGTTCTTTTTTCTTTTCAAACTGTAATATTAATTCAGCTAATTACTGTAACTTAGCTATTTATAAGATTTTTCATGATTGATAAATGTCATTAATTGTTATGCAGTGAACACACTTTCTGTCCCAAGTAAAATTGGGATGTCTAAACTTTTGCCTTTGGAGAATGATTACTTCATGTTTATGGAATTCTTGTGTGTTTACATAAATTGATCTATTAGGACCATTTTCCTGTGCTGCTCCTATGTAAGGGTCCTCCAGTTCAAGGAAGAGTGGGAGAGGGAGGGAGAAGGGAAAAAGAGAGAGGGGGAGAAGGAGATGGAGAGAATGAGCGAGAGAATGGGGCAAGGTTTATTTTAAGAATTTGGTTCACAGAGTTGTAGAGGCTGGAAAGTCCAAAATTTGTAGGATAAGCGGCAGGCTGGAGTCCCAGGGGACAGATTCCATAGTTCAGTTTTATGGGCAAAGTCTTTTGGAAGTTGGATTCTTTTCTCCCCTGGGGACCTCATGTCCTTGAACAGATTAGATGAGGCCCACACATTAGGAAGGGTGAGCAGCTTTATTTAAGTTTTACTGATTTAAATGTTAATCACTCCTTTATAAATACCATCAACAGTAACTTGTAGAATGACATTTCACCATATATTTGGCACAGAAGCCCAGCTGGGTTGCCATAAAACCCAGCTTAAGTCACTTGTGCTACATTGATGGTATTTTGTGTATTTTTATATTCTCTCTGTACTTTGTCCTCAATATTTTCAATCAGCTCTGGTATTTTTCTTAGATTTGGGCATGGGGTTAATCAATTTCTGCTTCAAAGTGTCACCTAAAACAGCAATAGGCCCAGTGTCCCAACTGCAGGTCCCTGGGTTGTGCCAGCTCCTGCTGCTCTTAAAGGAAGTTTCACGAGAGGACACAAGGCAGCCTGCAGGGCACTCTTCTGGGTGCCCACCACTCCCTTGCCTGCTTGAGGGGCCTCACAGCTTTGCCAAGTCCAGTTTGGATTGCCTGTCCGTGGCTCCTTTCTGTGGGACTCAAATCACCATGAGGAGGAAGGACAGACAGCAGCTTCCCTTCAGTTTCTTCTCCTTTGTCCTGTTGCACCCAGTCTTCTCTTCATAAAACCAGTCCTGTAGAAATCACATACTCTTACTATGCTGCTTTTTTGTGGGACCCAATTTGATGTTTTCAAGGGATTGAGCCATCTCATGAATGTGTGTCTAGATGATTTCCCATAACACCTGGTTGCCCTGGCAAAAGTTGTCTCAATAACCCTCTAGAGCTCTGGTCGCCTTTCATTACAACTTCTCGTGATGTCCCAGGTCGGCCTTACACATAAACAGAAATGGAAAGTTTGTGTGCAGAGTCCTCTGGATTTGAGAGGCGGTTTGGCCTGAATGTTGGAAACTGGGTGTTAGGACAAGGGGGTTGGGTAGTGGCTTCAGATAACAAGTGTTCACTAGGGGATGCTTTCCTGGCAGCACCCAGTCCTGCCTCTTCCTGCTCTTTATCAAACTCGCACATGTGTTCAATCAGGTTGCTATTTCTGTGACAATGTATATCTTAGTGTTTCTAGTGCAGTGTGTTGACCACCTTTTGGCCAACGTTTGGCCACATGTTCCATAGACTTTGTCCATGACGTTTAAGTGATTTAGGAATTTTCAGGGACGTGTATTCTCCAACATATCTAGAAATACTGGCTAGTCCCAGTTTTGTGGAAGATCAAAAGAAAGAGAGAGAGAATATGTGTGTGACACATAAAAGAGGGGATTTGGATATTCCACTGAGAAGCAAAAAGTGTGATGGAAGAGGTTCCATTCTCATTGTTTTGGAGCAAAGTTGTGACCATAGCAAAAAAAAAAAAAAACAAAAAAAAAACAAACATAAGGGCCTCATGTAAGGTGCTTTTCCTTCTCCTGGGATCAATGGCTGTGTGCTGGAGAGTTTAAGACTCTTAATTCCAGCGCAGACAGGGTGAGACTACATCACAATTGTCCTATGCCAATATCCTATGATGGTTGCTCCCTTGCTAATGCCCCATGGTAGTTACTCTTGTGCTAATGTCCTGTGGAGGAGGATACTCACCCTCCCTGGCATAAACATCTTCCAGACAGTGAATCAAACCTACCTGAATTACTCATGGAGCAACTCACCCCCCTTGGCCTCCTCTTCCCTAGACTGGTATTACCACCTTCCGGTGAAGCGGTCTGAGAAAGTAGACGCCCCACCAGCATCCCAGATCCCAGGTCTCAGCCAACTGAGAGACACACCCAATGGGAACCCATTTGGGACACGGAGGTACTGGATCAAAGAAACAGACTCAGAGTATGTGAAGCTGGCAAAGCAAGGTGGCCGGCCTGGTAAGTATGCCCTCTTCATCCAGGGTCTCCACTGTGGGGAGGAATGCTACTCTTCACGTCCTCCATATAAAATACTGTACAAGCCATGAGTTTTGCCCAAGGCCTTTAAAAATTTAAAACATTGACAATGGGGGATACAGTCTTCAGGGATATACTGCTTTCGATGAGAAGTTATGTTGAATAGACTTTGAATTTCACAGGATTTTCTTCAGAGTGACACCACCCCTTTTTATTTTCTAGTTAGTCTCAGGAAATTGTTCACCTCAGCGGAAAAGTTAGCTTGGCACTTTAAGGCCTTTCTTGGGGGAGGACCTTTGTATTATTAATTTGTGAAACATTGTTTCCTATAATTATTTTCTCCTGGCCTCTGTCCTGGTATTAATATATCTTAAATAATGAAGGTCATAGATGGATTTTAATGGGATGTTGGTGTCATTACACTTGTAACCATGATTGAATTGAGAAAGTCTTACTTGGTTCTGCAGATGGAAATCACTGATCCGAGGTTAAGGCATAGCTGGCTGTTGTCATCATTGGCACTGAGAGAGTCTGCCTTTTCTGCCTGCCTTTACCACTAAGGAGTATGTCAGGGGAATGGGTGGCAAAATGGCAATGTGTGGGCTTGAATGTTAGAAAGCCCAAGCCAGGACCTAGACATATTTCATATTCACCTCTACTCCCTTACCATTGTTTCAAAGATATTAGTGGGACAGCTGGCAAAATCTGAATAAGGTTTGTAAATTAGATAAAAGGATCACCTCAATGCTATTTGTGCTAATTTCCTGATCTTAATCATTGTGTTGTGATTATGTCATAACTGCTTTGGAAACCCGCTGGAGTATATAAAGGAGTTAAGGGGTGTCATGCCTGCAGCATGCTCTCAAATTCAAACAAAGTGGTGACAGTGATAGTACTGATGGATGAGAGAGTGAGAAAGAGAATGATAAGGCAAGTATGATGAAATGAAATGTTAGTAGTTGGGGAATCTAGGTGAAGAGTGTAGGGGATTCATACTATTCTGGCAACTTTCCTCTGACTCTGAAATATTTAAAAATAAAAAGTTCACAACTTCTTGCTGATTGCAAGAAAGTCAGTCAGTATTGCCTGTCACCACTGCTGTTATTATCATCACTTTGCTGTAGTTATTATCAGGCGAAACCAGTCACTCCCTTCTATGACAAAGCCCTTGGAACCGACAAGGGCGGGAAGAGGAAAGCCAGAGAGAGCAAGTGGTGGACGGGGAAGGCAGAACATGGTGATCTGTCCCTCTTGTGTGATTCCACCCTGGGGTGGGGAGGGGCACTGATTAACATCCCCACCCTGTGATTTAGAGAGGCATGTGGCCTACTTCCCACTGGAAAAACAGAGTGTCCAGTTCCTTTCAGAAATGCTTTGGGGGAGGGATCAGGGACAGGCAGACTATCTCCAGATACCTGGACAGGGTGGGAGCAGCTGAGGTGCAATCAGCAAGCTGTCCCAGGAGACCTGAGGAGATTTGACCCTTCCCTGCAGAGTCTACCTGGTAGGAGCCCCACCTAGAAATGGTGGGTGCACAGATGCTGCTTCAGGACCAGGACAGAATAGGGGGATGTCCAAGGGATATTAATGCTGAGCATCAAGCAGAGGTTCATCTTAGTATAAATACAAGAGGTGAGAACAGATGTCCTGTGGCCCCTGGACTCAGAGGCCACCCAAAGGGCAGTCAGAGTCACAAGCCCCTGCCTGTTAGTACATGCCCTACCCAGGGGGTGGGGAGCACTCATGGCTGCTCTTTTTGGCTTTGAGATCTGTTGAAGCACTTTGCTGCCGGGACCAGGAAGGGCTCCCCAGTTGCCTACTCCCTGCCAGATTGGTACATCCACCACAGCAAGCCGCCCACAGCCAACCAGCGACAGTGAGTATCCAGTAGCACCAAGTTGTTCATCTTTATAGGAAGAAAATCTCCATTTGAATTTTAAATACACATTTGTCTAATATTGATAGTGCTGGTGTGACATCATAGCTCCAAGTAGACCTGCAACAGCCAGCTCTTGGGGCACATCGCAAGATGTTAGAGTGCCAGACCTCTGAAAGTCTCCACATGTATTCCACCCTCTAGTTATAGATATTGGGACTGTTTATGGGAACATAGCTTTGAGTTTTGTTCTCTTTACCAAGGGCCTGGTTACTCTACCTCCTTCAACAACAGCCTGTCCCACAGCTTTCTGCTCATTGAGAAAAAGTAGATATACAGTGAGAAATATAGGGAATGTTATATTTTTATGATGATTGCAGAGTTATAGGTAGTTGCTCTCCACCATAATATTTGAAACATCCAGGAAATTCCTGTGTCTGGGTTTGTAAACTATAGCTTCCAAACCACTGTTCTTGGACTGAGAAGTGAAAAATCACTTGGTCCACTTTCCCAGTTTGGCTAGGGGAGCAGGACAGACTGCTGATTCCACACTGTTCCCCAGGAACAGTGCTCCACTGCTCACAACACAGCCAGTGTTCAGGAGTTTTCTTCCCCTGTTCTTTAAAACTGAGATTGCGGGCTAACACAGCTCACCTCTGACCTTAGCAGCAGCTGGAGAGAAAGGAAATTGGCAGCAGGAGAAAGGGCAGGAAGATAGACAGGAGGCTTGGGCACTTGCAAGACTCTGGGAGGAAAGTTCCACTGGGTTTTTGGGGGACTGGGTTTTCCATCTCAGTCCTAGAGCCCATCCATTGGGGTTGACACATGCCAAATGCCCTGTGCCTACTGGATGCCACAGGTTTCCAGCACCTGAGCTCTAAGGAGGGCCTGCCCCAGTAGGTCCTTCTGGGCACACCCTCCTCCCAGCCCAGCCCCTGGACAGTTCCTCTTCCTTTCTGTTTTACTTCCCTCTGTCCTGGGACCCATCATGAGGCTCTGTAACCTTTTCAACTCTCCAAACCTCTTGGGGTGGCTGCTTTCTGGGCTCTGTTGGACATTTGGAGGGTATGGGCATGGAAAGTCCAAGAGTGAGCTTTACTTCATTGAAATTCTGGGACCCAAGGAGCTGCAACTGGCATTGCCTTGTGTTTTCTTAAATTGCACCCTCCTTTGTTATTTTCAGCATCCCCTTTGGTCTCTGGGGTATTTTCCTTGCCAGTGAAGAATTGGAGAAATGAGAAATGAGAGGGCTGGAAAGAAGTGACCCTGTTCTGCAGTCCCTGAAACAAAGTGGATGGGACTCAGGGGCCCACCCTTTCCATACTGCATCCCTGAGGGGTCTAGGGACTGTGGTTCCCTCCAGGCCTGCATTACCAGCCTTGCTTCTGCTCCCTGGTGACTCCAGTGCTATCATTGGACCCCTCAGAAGCCTCCTTCCAGCCCTTTCTCTTCTCTCTCATCCTTCCCAGTGCACTGCCATCCCATCCCTCCACTCCTCTGCTCTGCCAGTCCTGTTGTGCCAATAGCCCTGGAGGACTCCTGCCTCCCTCCGCCCTCCACTCCTGCCTGTCTCCTCTCCTCCCCCAATTTCTTCCTCCCCTCCCTTTCCTCCTTGGCCCCATCCCCTCCTTGTCCCTTCCCTCCTCCCTCCCTTCCTGATCCCCCCTTCTGCCTCCCCTCTTCCCTTTCCTTCCTCTCATTTCCCTCCTCCTCCCTCCCCTTTCCCCCCATTCCTCTCCTCTGAAGCTTCCTCCCTTCTTCTCCCCCACCACAGTCCACCTTCTCCTGGTCCTGCCTGTGTCCATGCTCCAAGACAATCTTATTTTAATTATCCAATGAAATTGAAAGTCCATCCTCCCCCACCACCATTTTCTGGGACCCCCCCCCCGCAGGATCAAGTCCCAGCCCTCAATCTGCTTAGTAAGCCTGGCCTGATGAGGGATGCCAGGGAGTGGGTGAGAGGACGCTACCTCGCCACTCCAGCTGTGCTGATTCAAGTGTCCGGAACTGAGGTGCCCGGGAAACAGGACAAGTGCTTAAATGTTGCTTAAAAAGGACCACTTAAGAGGAAAAAATGGTTATTATTATTATTATTAAATGATTATTTGAAATGGTCAATGTTGAGGTGAATCTATTCTAAGAGACTAAGATGTTATAATAGTTTACAACATAATTTATCTGCTTTAATCATTGATAGTTGAATAGTTTTCATTCACTGATGTTAACACTGTGAATTTGGACGTGGCCTCTTGGCCAAGGCCTTGGTCCAGGCCATGGAGAAGGCCTGGTGTGCTCACACAGCAGGCCAAGGAGGGAAGGACTGGACTCTTCCAGCACTGCTGTTCCTGAAATGGGAGTGGCAGGAGGAGGAAAGATGGTGCGTAAAAAGAGGCAGAGCTCAGGTTGGGCTGTCCTATCTATTTCTGCAGAGTCCCTGCTGTCTCCATGCCAGATTACATGGTTTATGAAGAGTTTAACCCCGATCAGGCCAATGGGAGCTATGAGTCCAAAAGAGGACCCTTTGACTTTGACATGAAGACAGTTTGGCAACGAGAAGCTGATGAACTGGAGGAGAAAAAAAAGGTGACCGAGCCGCGATAGGTGTCTGCTTTGCTTTGTCAACCCGGATTAAGGGGCGCAAGTGCCACCCATGGTGGGTCTCATGTTGCCCATACCATTTGTACCTACTAAATATGGATCTCCTAAAAAGATAACATTATCTTTTTTCTTCTTTTTATGAATATCAGCTCCATGAAGTAAGATTAACTAAGTGTGTTTTAAGTAGTTAATGCTTGTCGTAGGCAGAACTGGCAAAAAACTGCTCATACAGCACACAGAGAAAGGATGTTTTATATTTGTTCATTGTCTAGTTTCTGAATATCCCCATTTTATGTAAGTATTTAAGTGAAAACTTCGCTGGGATACTCTTTATTGATAATGAAGGAAGAGAAAACTGCTGTTCGTGTGAGGCCCCAGTGGTATATTTGGGCACAGAGGAGCAACTGACTTTAATGTGGAAGACTTTGTTAGGGGGTTTATGTTTCAAAAGAGCACCTGGGAACACACAAGCTATCTCTAATTGTGGTTTCGAGGTTATGATATCTTGATTTGAAGGCCTTCTGATCATGAGGCCTGACCCCCACCCACAAGGGCTCCACATTGCCCTCCATGACTCTAGCTTCTTGGTGTGAGGTCAGCCTTAGTTCTTGGGACATGGGGATTTGTGAGAGAAATGGTGACATTCGTATTAAAATGAACTGTTTCCATAATGAGGGCACAACAAGAACAATCCTTACCCACAAGTGTGTTTCTTGGTGCATGTGCTGACTGATCCTTGAACTGTTAATGCTTGGCACCCAGATTTTGAATCCTCAGTGTCTTGATTTGAAGAGAAACCTGGGTGATTTACTTCAGGGTTGAACACCATGTGGAACGTCAGTTGTCTGCAAGGGGACTTTTTTTTTTTGACATCCCAAAGTGCCAGCTACGATTTTGACATTGGGTGATTTGCATGATCAGTGAACTGGACTACTTTAGAGATGTGGCCTGTTTCTTGGCAATATGTAAATGACAAAACCATCCAGTCATAAATGCAACCTTTGGATATTAACCATGGTTACTCTTTTAACACCTGGAAGAACCTGACCACGAAGTACTGTGCCACCCTAATCAAGTTGGGTTATTTACCAACCACTGACAAAAGCTGTGCTAAGGGCTAAATAAGGGGCAGGGAGCAAGCCCAGGCCTGGGGAAGGAGGTGGGGTGAGAAAGGCCTGTGCTTAGACACAAATACTGTGAATATTTAAGTGAAAGGCATGCGTAGTGGCTGCCATCTAGTGGGGAGAGCATCCTGTTGGGTAGTACCCAGGATCACTGGAAGCTATTTCAGTCACCACTTCGGTATGCAGCTCAGCTAGAGCCTTTTGCACAGAATTTTCTCCGTGTGTCTTCTAGGATCTCAGGGACAGCTAGAGTAAGAAGTTAAATGTGAAAACATGCCACAACATTTAGCTAGTATGTTGTACTGGAATTTGAAGAGCATCCTTCCCCAGCCACTCATGAGGGCCTGGCTGTCCCCCACCTTCTCCCCTCCCAGAAATTGAACCTCAGGGAGTGGACCTTCCCCAGCCAAGCTCTGGCCCCTCACATAACAGGGGCAGACACACAGGGATGCTTAAGGCATGGTGGCTCTTTGATAACCAGCATCACCTACAGGATGATTGGGGTCAATCGTTTCCTCTTCTGAAGAGTCATCTTTCTGTAAATGCTTGTAGCACCTCCATGGGCTCTGTTGATTTTTTTTTTTTTCCCATTGCATTTCTTTTACAATTTTTAATAATGTAATTTACACACATAGAGCACTATTCTAAAAATTGTCACTTTGTCACCATACATTCAGGTGCAGAGCAGTCCTCTCCCACAAATTTCCCAGTCTGCACATCAGCACTTCTCCCGTACCTGCAGGCAAGCCCTGGTCTGTTTCCAGTCTTTAGTTTTAACTGTGTCCAGATGCCCACTTAGCAGAACTGTCTGCATGCAGTCTTGTGTGCCTAGCCCCTCCTGTGTGACTAAGACATCCACATATAGTAGATGTCTGTCTTAGCTCTGTATTGTGGAGTTTTCCATTGTAGGACTGTGATGCAGTTTATTTCTACATTCACCACTTGATGTACACTTGGCTTGGTCCCGGTTCTTGACGATTATCCATACACCCACCATCAATTTCCCATGCAGGTTTTGTGTGGACACCTTTGCATTTCACTTCACTTGAGTAAACACCCAGAAGTTGGATTGCTGGTTAAATGGTATGTGTATGCTTACCTCCACCCAAAGCTGCTGGGCTGTTTTCAGAGGGACAGCACCTTTTCAAACTCCCACCAATCTGCTGAGTTCTAGTTACTCCTCATCCTCTCCAACGATTGATCTTGTTGGGTATTCTAAACTCTCAAAATGGATGCCTCCTCATTATGGTTTTAATTCGCATTTCCCCACCACACTTTTTAGGTGCTTTTTTTGTCATCCATAGACCTTCTGTTGGTGAAGCAAAGAAGTGGTGCTCTGGGATTTTTTCTTTTTTTGCTCTTTTGCCTGTTTTGTAATTAAGTTCTCTTCCTATTAAGTTTTGAGACTCCTTTGTACATTCTGCATATAAACCCTTTCTTAGAGATGAGTTTTGCAAATACTTCCCAGCCTGTAATTGTCCTTTATATTTTCTTAGCAGTGAACAGAAGTTCTTAATTTTGATGATTCATCAATCATTTCATTAATGATTTTGCTTATGATAGTGTTTGTATAAAATCTTTGCTTAACCCAAGATCATGAAAGTTTCCTCCTATGTTTTTGTCTAAAGTTTTGATAGTTCTCCATTTCAAATTTAGCCCCTTGCCTGCAAGCCCCTCTTCCTGAAGTACTCCAGGAGCTGTATTCCTGGCCTTGTTCCCAGCAACATTCCCAACGTCCATCAGCAGCACGTATTTTCTATCACCCAAGTGTTCATTTGCTGGTCCCCGACTCTACTTCTGAACATCTTCCTGCTGCCTCTGTTCAGTATCCCTTGTCTTTGGCCCAAGTCATCACAGAAGCTATTTGCCCAGATGCCTGCCCACTGTCTCCTCTGAGCGCACCTCCACTCTGCCTGAACATCTCCTCCTCCTCCCCACCTTTATACAGTGTTCCCCCAGCAGCAGTGTCCTTTCCTGTATACACAGGACCCAGGTTAAATGCCACCCTCGCCCCTCCAAGGTACTCTTTGCTTCCTGTATTTCTTGGCCAGGATCAAGTTGTCTATACCAGCCCTTCACTAGCACACACTCAGCTGTGAGGATAGACAAGAGCAGGTCTCTCATCTTGGTGTCCTTTCCCTTTTGCTTTACCCTAGGTACTGCTTGGTGGTTCCAGGTAAAGGAATTCAAGATCTTCAGAGGTCCTCTCTGTGTCTCCACAAGGCTCTGCCCAAGCCCTGGGGCCGGGGGTGGGGTGGGGGGGAGCTGTCCTTTGTCTGGGTGTGGGCACCAGCTTCCTCTCAAAGTCCCTTTAGAAATGGGTTCTCCCTGAATATTTCCCACTGTTAGTTTCCATTGTTTTTCTTCTTGGGCAGATGACAACTTTCCTTGATGACAACAGCTGTTTTTAAATTACTAGTAGTCTCTTTTATACAATCATTGTTTCTAATGGGATTATTGTTGACTTATATTTTATTGTGACTGTTTACCAGTAAAACAATGATCACACTGCAAATCTGGTCCTGTATGCTTTGTACATGTGCCACCATTTGTGAGCTTTCTTTGCTGCTAAATGCTAGTCATTTAATCAGGGTTTTGTGTGTTTCTTCCAACAGGTGAGGCTGCCAGCTATTAACTCAAAGAATCCAAGCAAAGTGGGGACCCCACTTGGCCCCAAAGACCCTACAGGAAGTCGACTCTCTTTTCCTCCCATGTAAGTGCATGGGCAGTGCCAAGTTCTCTGGAATGGTTTGGGGTCTAATTTTGGTCTTTCATCCAAGTGACAGCAGTAATAGTGACAGCAACTACACTCTGTGCTAATGTCAGCCCAATGATATTTGCTTCCCAATACTATGTTTTGAGGATGTGAATTAGAGATATCATAGTTTCCCACAGCCTGGCCTTCAAAGCCCTGGTCCAACCTTTTTACCCCACCACCTGGATCCCATTTTCTTCCTTCTTGTCCATGAGAATCTGCCCATTCCCACATGGACACACTACTTCCCCCACCAATTGTTCTTTTCCCCACAGGCCTGCCCTCAGATCTACTTCTAAGATCCCATCCTCACAAAAGCTCATTTTGACTGGCTTGCCTTTTAAATTTAGGGCCAGTTGTCCTTGCACATGCGTGGTGCTCAGTTCTGACATTTTGTGTCACTAAGACCTGGACCACGGTGTGAGTGAGGGCTTGACCCTGAATTCAGCAGGAGAAATCACTAGGTGCCCTGAGGGCTGGTTAATCTTCTGGTTGGAGGGCAAGTACTCAGAGTTCTGTATTTCTCTTTCCCTGATGTAACTGTAGTGCTAGAGCTAATACTTTTTAATTGTCTAAGTGAGTCTTCAGACAGCTTCTCATCCAGAGGGGGAGGAACAATCAGCCAGTAACATTACATGTGACAAATGCCATGAATACCAGTTCACACTAGAGAAGTGGTGGGGGAGGGGAGAGATCTGTACGTTTAAAGGGACAACAATGCACCTATTTTCTCAGTGTTCATCATCACTCTTCTGAGTTATCACTAAGTTTGATAATAATTTTTCTCTTTTTAAGGCCTGGTCATAAAAACAGTTCACCCACAAACTTTTCCAAACTTATTAGCAATGGTTATAAGGATGAGTGGTTACAGCAGCGAACTGATTCAGAAAAGCGGACCCCGCAGACGTCCCGAGTGTCAGCAACATCCAGAACGTCGACATCGACTAAGTCCACCCAGGACCCGGAAGAGCAATTGGAAGAAGAGCCAGCCCCAGACCCAGAGGCTCCAGAAGGCTCTGAGAAAGCCCAAGGTAAAGCCACCCCACAGTCTGTGCGCCCCTGGGGTTTTTATTTACTGCCATAACAGCCATGACTTATTTTTTTTTTTTTTTACTTTGTTATGTATCCTATCTACATGAGTAATCCAGAAGTCATGGAGAAAACATAAAGTATTGAAATTTCAGCTATATATTAGGATAATACACATTTTGCTTTCTTCCTTAATCAAATGAATAGCAGAAGTCATGATTTCTGTGGCTTTATATTTTCTTTTAGTTGTCAAAATTTTGATATTTTCATTTAATATACCAAACAAATAATATACCAAATAATATCAATTTTAACCTCCTGGATCCTAAAGCTTCTGCAATCTTTGGATTTGACATAAGCATCTGGTCCAGAAGAGGCAACTTCAGAAAAAGGCTTGGTTCTTTGAAAATCACTCACAATTAAAATAGAAGTTATTCCATCATCAGCTTATCTTTAAGTGATTATCAAAAGTATTAATACTTTAATACTTGGTTTGTATCATTAAATTGAACAACTAATGCACTTTTTCTTTATTACAGAGTCTTCACCTCCAAGTGAGTATTTATAGAGAAACCAACCTGCATCCAAACAGAAAAAATGTCTTACACATGAAAAATTGCTGGGCAGAGTTCTTAAATGTGAAACTGAAGCCTCTTGGTAGCCTGAGACATACTTCTCCAAACTGCATGTATTCTGATTTCAAAAGCTGGTGCTGTCTGTGCTTTTAACAAATTGGCGTTCTAAGGGTACAGTTTGGGGGCTGCAAAAGAAAGGCCATTTGCATTATTACAATATGTTGCCTTTATAATATTATGCATACTACACAAAATAAAACATTTTAGTTTGGTCCAGACACATACATTTTATTACATGCCATATGAGAGACACAGGTTCAAATAATGGAGAAGTGACAGAATACCTAGTTTGAACTTAACACAAGCAATCAGCACTGAGATTTACCTGTAAAGGATATTTTAGGATTTACATTTATTATTTTTTTGCATGGTCTTAAGTAGATAAAGTTGACTTCACCACCAACAAAATATATGATCTATAGATAATACTATCATTTGACATTAATGTAAGTTTATAAACCTTTTTTGCAAAATAAATCATTGCAAGTGTTACATAACCTGTAGTTTAAATTAGCAGCAAGGACCTCCTTGCTCTTTTTAACCATTTAAAATTAATGAAAAACAAGGTAAGAAGTAGAGTCCCTGTAATCTGGGGAAGCCACATTGATGGAAAGGACCTGCCTGCATGCATTCGTCTTGGCACTGAGGTGTCACTGAAGAAGTTCCTGGCTACCTCCCTAAGCAGAACTTCTGGCCCCCCAGCTCAGGTGGCCTCATGCTCTCCCCTCTGTTTCCTGATTCTTCTTCTTTTCATATTAATTCTTAGCTTTATTTTTTTATAACTTTTTTTTTAAGATTGATTTATTTATGCATACAAGAGTTGGGGTATAAGCCAAAGGTGCAGGAGGATTCACCAGAGACAGAATGGGGAACAGAACAGGCAGACCAACCGAAATACACTGCTGAGGGGATCAGCAGGCGAGACAGGAGAGGCCTGCTTCTCCATGTGGGCTGCTCCCTGGCTGGCCAGGGCTTGAACTCATGCTACAGAGGCTGCTGATTGCTTCATAGTGCAGTGCTTAACCCCTTGTGCCACCAGGGAGGTCCCTAATTCTTAGCTTTATAAACAATAAATCCAAGCATGCCTTTTCCTTCCACCTGAAAACCTGTCCCTGAGAGCCTGTCCTAGCACTTCTATATATCATCAAGGCTTCTTTTTTTCCTTCCACCAGACAGTTTTGTTTTATTTTTAATTGCAGTTTTGACAGCTATTGCCAGTGTTTTTGGCATTTCAGAAAGTTGTCTTTAGATAACTGGCACAATGTTGTGCTTTGAAAGAGCTGAAATTAATGAAGGTGTATGTAGGATTTGGTGTACAGGTTAAGAGTCACACAGTGTCCCCTAGAATTAGGGGAAATGTGTGGACTTATTAGACTGATTTCTCTCCTGCCCACTGCTCTTGCTGAGGCTGTGGTCACCCTATATGTTCAGTTTAGTTCAGTTCATTTCAGGATATTTATATCAGCAGAGTCTTCCAGCATAGCAGGCAGACTCATGAATTTACATGTCTCCAATGGGCACTCCATTCTTGTCTGCAATACACAAGCTAAAGACCAATGTATGATTTGTGCCTGCAGGTAGGCCCCTAGGCTAAATTTTTATGTAGACTTCAGGAATTGACCTTATAAACAGGTACAGAAATATATGGGTTTTTTAAATTTGAAATTAATAGATTAAGTGGTCAAGAGGAACACTCTTCTAGTTATAAAATAAATATGTCTTGGAGTTACAATGTATGGCATGGTGTGCATGGTTAGTAATGCCGTATTGCATATTTTTTTATTATTTTATTTATTTATGCATACAAGAGCTGGGATGAGGCCAGAAGTATGGGGGGTGAGGGTGGGGAGCAGAACAGACAGATCTACTGAAATATACTGCTGAGGGTAGCAGCAGGAGAGACTAGAGAGGTCTGCTGCGCCATTTGGATCAGTTCCTTGGCCGGGGATTGAACTCATGCAGCAGTGGCTGCTGAGAGCTTCATAGTGATGAGACTTAACTCCTTGTGCCACCAGGGAGGCCCGTTGCATATTGGAAAATTGCTAAAAGATTTTGAAAGTTTTCATCAAAAGGAAAAGAATTATAACAATGTATCATGACATATTGTGGTCATTTTACAATCAAATATACAAATATCAATTCATTGGGTCTTATAACTAAAACTTACATAATGTTAACATGTCAACTATATCTCAATTAAATAAATAAATAGTTTAAAAATTCTTACTTAATGAATCTTAAAAAAAAAAAAAAAAAAAGCGCCTCCCTGGTGGTGCAGTGGTTGAGCGCTGGGCTGCTAAGCTGCCTGCAGCCTCTGCAGCACCGATTTGATCCCTGGCCAGGCAGCGAGGGTCCCACATGGCGCGCAGACCTTTCCTGCCGTGCCGCTGCTCCCCTCAGCAGTGTATTTCATCAGTCTGCCTATTCTGCTCCCTGCTCTGTCTCTGGTGAATTCTCTCACCCTCCTGCACTTCTGACTGTACCCAGTGCTTGTATAAATAAATACATAAATCTTAAAAAAATAAAATAAAATAAAAATTCTAACTTATAAAAGCTGTCCCTTCATTTTCTTTTACCTCTCTGCTCATGTATTTATTTTGCTTTGCAGGTCCTGCAGCAACTTCATCTGCATCAACACCAGCAGAGCTCAAATAAACGCTAATTGAATTGTCCTTAGGATCATTTTCTAATGATTTAATATAATTTACTATGTTACAGCTATATTTATAAGACTCCTGTTATAGTTTATTAATACAGATTCTTATGAACTAACTAATCTTATAGCCGACTTGACACCACTGTTGCATAGATGGTACAAGTGTTGGGCTTTTGTCTCTCACATTTCTCTGAGATGTTAAGCATGTGGGCTCTGGGATGCTTTGCCTTGCTAGCTTCGGGATGTTCCAGTGTCTCGGAACCAACTGCTTCCTCTCTATGGTCATCTTCCTCCTCTGTTGGTGGCATTTGTATTGAAATTAATTACTTAGATACTTTACTAGAAGAAGCTAAGAAAACAAACTTTTAGCCTTTTCCATTATTTGGTCCTGTAATCTTTGTAGAAATAATTTTTGTTACAAAATTTTAATTTAATTCCAGAATATTGTGATGCAGTTTATATTAAGAAATACTAATTTATTATGTCTTGAAGTTTTAAACATTATAAAAACATTGTAGCATTGTCTAGTTTAAATTATTGCTAATATTTTTTTGCATAAACTGAAGTTCATAATATTAAAAATTCATTATTTTGTATCTTTGAAAGTAAAGTGTTTGATATTTAATTTAGTAGTCTTACAAAATAGTTTTAATGATCAGACAGAATTAACTGGTTTTATACATTTTGTTACTGTTTATATGTAAGCAACTCGCCTCAAAATGTAGTTTTATATTTTGTACATTTATTTCATTACTAAAATAATTTTCTGCTAAAAGATTTTTCAGAAAGCCAGATAAAGTCACAGATATTTTAGCATCTTTTCCAGAGTCTACCTATCATGCACTTGCTCACTTAAAACTTACAAGCTTTAAATTAGTTCTTTAAATGAGATACTTGATTTAACACATATATCTATATTGTTTGATCAAAACCAATATTACTAGGGGAGAATGTATGCAGTATGAAAATAAAAAGTGAATGGCTGTATGTACTGAATAAAAAGAATATTGCATTATAGTAAGAAGTGCATTTTTTTTTTCTCCCTTCCCTCCTCTTGCCTCCTCTACCTTAATTCCTACTTCATTCTCAAACACCCCACTGCAATTAAAAAAAAATTATAAAAGAGTTATACACTAAAACCAAGTGGGATTTATGTCAGGTATGTAAGACAATTTCAACATTTTAAAATGAATTAATATAATTCATAATATCTACAGGCTAAAGAGAAAAATAAAATATAATCCTATCATTAGATATAGAAAAGTTATTTGACAAAATTCTACACCTCTTCATGATTAAAACTCTCAGCAAACTAGGACTAGAGATCTTATTCAACTTGATAAAGAACATCTATAAAAACCAGCATTAACATCATACTCGAGAAACTAGAAGCTTTCCTGCTAAGATCAGGAACAGTGCAAAATGTTACACCTCACCTCTCTCATTCATTCTGCTGGAAGTCCTACCTACTACAATAAGAAAAAAAAGGAACTGGAAGGTAAATAGATTGAGAAAGAAGAAATACAGTTGTCTTTTATCCACAGATGTGACTGTAGAAATCTGATAAACCACAATTATAAAACCTAATAAGTTGCTACAAAGTAACTCATGATTACAACCAACAATCAGGAGTTATACTGTGAATTGGTGTGATATGATCACTGCCCTTACCCAAACTGCTTAAATCACCCTCCTGATTTTCTGAAATTCAATTTCTGCTTTTCTCTATAGTTTACTGCTGGGGATAACAATCAAAAGAATGTGACCAGTGGGTTGACCCATGAACCAAACCTGGGTATCAGAAGATTCTTCTTACCACCACCTGTAGGGATGTGCTATTTAGCTTCAGAATCACTGAAGATGTTATTTCCCAGGTCTACTAACTGACATCTCTCCATTCCAAATTTACAGATCCAATTCACCTAGAACAGGCTTTCTCTTATTTAGTTTCCTGTTGTATCTTCTTACAATGGTGACAACAAAAGACTATACATCACCAGAAACTCACAGTTCTGAATATGCTTGGACACGAAAACACCATGAAGATACTATGGGAGTTTGGGGAGGCCTGCTAATTCTTTTCATTCCCAGGCAAAGAGGATAGAGTTTATTTGCAATGTGGTAATGTCATCTTATTTACCCACTTAGCACAATGGACATACTCAGATGTATGGGCAGGGTTCTATTGCAAATGGAACAGATAACTGGAATTTGCACATTTCACCACAATATTTAAAAAAGCAAAAAAAAGTTAAGGAGAAGTCACAAGACTAAGATTAGATCTGAATTCTTCAAATTTCCAGGCTTTTTCTACAACACACATAGTTTGCAGATGTCTCTTGTCATTGTTTCCAGGAATCTCTGATCTAGCCAGTTAAGTAGGTTTTGTTTATGATGTTAATCTAGGCTAAATTAAAATCCTGCTTAACAACTGGAGACCTGCAGGAATAAAGCCAAATCTCTAACTTTCAATTCAAACCTTCAAAATAATCACCTATTATACCAAACAAGGAGTATTAAGGAGTTCCCCAGGTTATATGGAAAGAAAAAAGAGAAAAACAGAATCATAGTTAACATTGAAAACACTAAATAAATGTTAAATTTCAGATCCACTGATAAAAAAACCTATTAGCTTCCAGCTGTACACTACCATGTTTTTCTGCAGGTTTCTTAGGGACCCAATGTAATCTATAAAGCCAGGTCTTAAGGAAGCATGCTATTTCCTGAGGCTGATTCTGTGCTTTCTCATCTTTGAAATCAGAATAAGTGGGCAGACCCCCTTGAAAAAGTGGTGTCCTTAAGATGGTTAATATTACAGGTGGTTTTGGCTAGACCATTGTGCCCGGCTGTTGAGCCAAACACCACTCAAATGTTGCCCTGAAGATGTGTTTTGTACATGTGGTTAACATCTACAATCAGTGAATTTGAGTGGAGCAGTTTCCCTTGGATAACGTGAGTAGACCTCACCTAATCAACTGATGACAGCCTGAAGAGCAAACTCTGAAATTTTTGGGAAGAAGGAATTCAGCCTCAGGATACAATAGAGAAATTCTGCCTGAGTTTCCCACCTGCTACAGTTTCTCTGCTGCAGGGGTGGGGTGATATTGTGCCTTATAAGAAATATGTATAATTGGTCTTCATCTACAGTTCCTGGCTCACAACTTCCAAAATGTGGATTTTCTTGAGCTACTATAGCAATGAGAGCATCTTTGGTCTTATAGTTCCTCCAACCCTTGTAATTTCCCAAGTGATAAGGGCATGGGAGCATTTATTATAATTATGTTCTTGTCCCCAGTTACTGAGGAGAAAGTTTCACATCCATAACTTTAAATAGGTGTCTTATTATTCATTTTTTCTTTAAGATAAAAATCTTAGTTTTCAAGGAAATTCAAGATGCATAAAATACAAAACAAAAAATACAAAACAACATATATTTCAGTCTACCAAGAGAGCTGGAGCATGGAAGTCCAAGGAACTGGGTCACTTACCCTTATTTTTAACTGCCTTATTTTTGTGATGAGAACAATTTTTATTTTATTATGGGAGATACTAAAGTTTATATTAAGCCTGCTGGGTCTAGATTGCTTTTAGGTCAAAATAATCCACATGCCAAAGTGGTACATTTTGAGGATTCTTGTTCTGAACCCATTTACTTCTCTGCAGATTTCAGGCCTTCTAATCTCTGTAATTCTGAGAGCCTTATCTCTGATTGGTTCTGTTTCTCTGGAGAGAATAAATGGAGATTCAGCACTCCCTGGGTACACAGCACCATGCAGGTGGGCTATATGATGGGGGTCCAAAGCCCAGCCAAGACCTTCCCTACAAGTGATGACCTATGAGGTGGAGATGCTCTCTGAAGGCAATGAAGACAGAGCCTCCAGAAAAGGGATGGAATGCTGGTGAACACCAACTTCTATTTATTTTTTTGGTATTAGCAAGAAATATCTCTTTCACAGAGTTCCCTAGGCACAGATTGATAAACACAGAGAAATTCAGTGATGAAATGGTGATCCATTGGGAAGATAACCAACTACCTGCTCCCTGGGACCAGTGCACTCTCTTCCCACCTCGCCCAGGCTGCAGTCCACCATGTCCAGTGACACTAAGGTGCTGTCTCAGACAAGGTTAACAATATCGTGCAATCTCATACTGACGTGGGCAGGCTGCACTTCTTTATGTGGGCTGGAATTGCTTTGCTACAAAATGTCCCTTCTCCATGGACAGCAACCTATTGTTAAATCAGATGCCATACTGCCATGGTTCTCAGACATTGGTGGTTACTGTCACTGAAATGTCCCGGTTGAACCCCCAGTCTAGATCTGAGGCATCTTCCCAGGGACTAGAACTGGAGGGGGAGAGCAGCCTAAAGCTGGTCTTTCCACCTTGAGCACAGAAGGGTTTAAAGGGAGCCTCCCTGGTGGTCTAGAGATTTGGTCTGAGTTCCATCCCCAGCCAGGGGGCTACCCATATGGTACAGCAGACCGCTCCTATCTCACCCCCTGCTCCCCTCACCAGTGTATTTCAGCAGATCTACCTGTTCTGCTCCTCACTCTCTGGTGAATCCTCTCACCCCTGCCCCCCCATCTCTGGCCTGTACCCCAGTTCTTTACAAAAAAATTTTAAAAATGGTCCAAAGGGTCTGCTTAGCACAAGGGAATATGGTGATAGACTATGGGTGCTTTGGTGGTGGGAGAACTATGGTGACCACACCTGAGGGGAGAAATCATACATTTTCCAAAAATTAAATAAAAACAAAAGTTCTGCTCAGAAGGAAGGAGCTTGGTTTAATGTCTGCTCTCTCCACCTGATAATTCTTTGTAATTTTTCAACAAAGGATCTACAATTTAATGTGCACTGGGCCCACCAGTGGGAAGTCTCTGTCCCTTCCTATGTCTTCCCACCAGCAAATCTTCTCTCATCCTCCCTCCGGCTTATTTATCCCTGACTCCACCTACAAAGGAGACAGTAGAGAATAGCTCAACTTTTCTTTTTGTTCTTTAGTGCCCAGAACACACAGTGTTTAGAAAGAAAATTATGTAGGCTATGATTTGGCAGAAAGCAGGGTAATAAAAAGTTTCGAGACCTAGGTAGGATAAAGAAGTAATAATGTTATAGATTAATCAGTGTCCACTGATTATCACACAACTTTTATTTTTTGCCTTTTAAAATGACACATCTATTTTAATTTCACTTGCTTCCCTTTGAGTGTTGGAATGCATATATTTTCTTTCCCATGTGCAGATAAAGAAACTGAGGCACAAAATTGGGAACTCCCAGGACTGCAAGATGAGGTCCATTCTTTCTGCATGGATAGCTCCAATCAGTTACCACTGATAGATGACCCTCTAAGGGTTTGGAGATGATGTCTCCTTCTTGCTCTGACTAGTTCATGGAACTGGTATTTTTACCAAGCCTTCATTTCAAGGGAAAAATCATCTTAATGATATTGTAGAAGGCACAAGCCTCAGTTGTCTGAGTCTAATTTTATCAACAGATTCCCAGAAATAATTCCT